AAGTTACTTCATATTTTGTGACTGCTAACACACACAAACACAATTTTTGTAACATTTATGTATTTATTCAAAATTTTGTAGTTACTAACCCAGTACAATGAATATCATCTTAGTTTTTAAATTTTCTAATTTTGTACACACAATTTTTTTTTATATTCCTTTTATTCTAAAAATGATATGAGGGAGCAGAAAAAATAAGAATTTTAATAAAAATCATTTCGTTCATTTTTCGTTTTATTTTGTATTCTATTAATCGCATATTTGAGTACCTACATATGTATATATTAAGTATATGTCAATGTTCATATGTATATTTAAACACATACACTTATTCATTTGCACAAAATGTTATTAGGCTTCAAATAAAAAATACAAAGGCCAAAAATTTTCAAATAAAGAAAATAAAAATAATAAGAGAAAAAATTTGAACCCACCCTAAAATATTTAAGAGTGTTTGTATTCAGCTTTCATAAAATTCCTATGTTCTTTAGAAACGAAAACTCAGAAAAAAATAAAAGTTTTTTTTTCAGTACATGTGAGAAATTTTGTTTTAGACAGAAGTAGATCAATATTTTTGTGCTCAACATAAATGCCTTCCAACAAATATGTATAATTAGTTATGCTCAGCCATGTAAGTATATAGTTAGACTTTAGAAATCACAATGAAAATATGACATAAATTTTGAATTGTCAGGCTACTCAATATGTCAACATGTATGTAAATATGTACAAATTAAGTAAGTTAGTAATGAAATCATTTTATGTTCCTTATTATTTCTGCTTTATTTTCGCTTTGTTCACTGATTATTTCAAAAAATTATTTTTATCCAGCAAAAATTAATAGTAGCACCATATTAAACAAAATGTAAGGCACAAAACCCTCAACAATTTAAAATGTTGACATAAAATTGAAGAAACATGAAATAAATTCAAATAAAACAAGGAATCTCTGGTAATCAAAACAAGTAATTTCAAATATAAAATGTTTAATGTTCAAAATGGCATATTTACTATAAGACAACATGCAATTACTTGAGATATGAGTGCAAATTCCGTTACTCTTATACCATTTTATAATAATACACATTAATATACTCAATATCGTGGAAATTTTAAAATTAAAAAGAACGAAATTCGCATTAAATTATGCAATATTTTTGAAATTTATTTTGTGTTTTAAATTGTTGCCAATTTTCCAAGCTTTATGTTTAGAAAGGCTTTATACTTATGTAGATCAGTTAATTAAATACTAATTTCTTAAGTATTGAACAATGTGCAACTAAATCTTATTGATTATAACATTAAACAAAATTAAGACCTAATTTTGAAGGGTCACTTCAATTTACTGTGGTTTTTTCCATTATATGAAATGGGGTCTAATTCTAATATCTTTAGCTCTACTAGCATATTATTTTTAATAAAGAAAAATTTGCAAAATAATTAATTAGAAACTGAACATAAAAAAAGTAAAATTAAAGAGAATAGAATTATTAAAATAAGAAATAATATTCTTAAAACGTAAAAAAAATCATTGTATACGTTATTTGATTACAATTCAGTTAGTCTGGATATGTTCAGATTAATTCATGATTCAAGAATTATTTAAAATACTTTTGCTACACCAAACCAAAAATTAACTGTTAACAACCCTACTTAGTCAATCATTAATATTCTTATAGTAAAAGTAATCATGAATATTAAATATGTCTACATATGTCTGTGTATTACAAAAAAAAAATTAAAAAATTCCCAAAAAATTTCTTAATATTTATGCGATAGCTTAACATCATGGTTGACATTTCGTGACTTAATGAACCTTGCGTGTCATTAACTAATCAGAAAAATGAAAATCAGAAAAAAAAACAAAACAAGGTTCTAAAATTATAAAGAAGAAACTACATTAGAAAAAATTAGCGAACATAGAAAATTCTAATAAAAAAAAATAATAATTGTCGGACGTATAATCATTAGACTATACGTAAGTACCTATATTTATGAAATAATGAATAAATATTTGAAATTAAATGAGTTTTAGTTTTATGCTAAACCGCATCATGAATACAAGTACGTATAAACATGTGATTTACAAAGTACCGAACACTTAAGTATAATTAAGTTTATCATGTCTAGTTTAAGACGAGCAATTTATCTTTACAATATTAGAAACTGAAATAACTTAATAAAATCATAACTTTTCATAGAAATGAAAGAACATATGTACGTACTATATACATATATATGTATTATCAAAATTAAAGCACTTGTGACATAATAATTGTTTTACATTTTCATAGACTCAATGCTTAATATAAATAAAAGTGTCGTACAATAAAGCCTAAATATATCGCACCTATGAAATATCATAGTGACAACGTAATATACGAAAAAAGTGAAATAATGTTAAGATGAATTACGCATTCTAATGAACTTTACGTAGACAATTATTGATCAATTAAATAAATTATCTATAATCCAAGAAAATTTTCTGATTTGCCAACTTGTGAATAAATTTCTTTGCCATGATTTTAGTAAAATATCATTCCTGAAATTGAATGTATTTTAGTTATAGTAATAAAAAACCCCATCTCAATATGTGGCAGTCTCGAGGAGAAAAATTTTTTAATTAATTTTTCTGCCTTTAACTCGTTCATTTATCCATTTGTTCTGCAGTTGCATGAAGAAATTTCCATTAAGCTAAATGTGGCAGTCTTTTAATGTCTTAAAAATATTTTTTTTATAAACGTAAAAATCTTAAAATAAAATTTTTGGACATATAGCATTATTGTTTTACAGGTGCGATATAATGAATATTAAATTTGAAATTATTTTCTATTTCTATACATTCTAAGTACATACTTAAATATGTATATAAAATACAATACTTTACGTAAATTTACATATATATGTATATATATATACACATATACTCATACATATTTTGAAAAAGAAATTTAGAACTTAGGATTAGCGTTAGAATTTTAAAATTCTTTCAAATTCTAAATAAGTAATGTATTTGCTATATTCCATCCTATATACATATATAATATATAAATGTAGGTGTATGCATTTATATATTTTTACTTAAATGTTATACATACTCGTATATGTTGTCATACTTTTTCTACCAGACAGCAATCATAAAAAGCAACGACGAATAAGCCGTCAGTCAGTTGATCTAATCTAGTTATTTTAAATAGCAGTCAAAATGTTGGAGGTTTTGTTTTTAATTTTCTTCGTTTTTATATATTTTTTTTTATTTTTATTATTATTTTTTCATGGGACTAAATTATATTACAAGTATATCTAAGCTCTAAAATTATTTTTAGAAGGAAAACATGGTAGAAAAGAAAGTAAAATTCATAGCACACTTAATATAGTTGTATATTCAAATATTAGCAATATTTGTGTGTTTGCATATATTATGCAAGTATACTGAAAACATTGTATGTATATATATACACGTTTTTATATAATTAATAAGTGGTATTAAAGTTGAAACAAAATAACAGTAAAAGGTGTGAGGTGAAATAAATATGTTTTTAGTTCTTACGTTTTGCTACACAAATGTTGCAATGAACGGTGTACATATCAAAAGTAAAAACCATAAATAGTTAGTTAATAGGCAAATTCATATTATAAAATAAGAAAAATAACTATATAAATTTCAATAGACTATAGAAATTTCAATACAACTATGAGATTATTAGATTTAATTTTTCTTTTTTTTTCCGCTTTACATGTAATATTCTCATAATATAGATCAGAAACTTATGTAATACGGCACATTGCACACATTAGAACGATGAAGCATATATACGTCAATATTAGTCTTCTCTACTTACATATGTGCTTTACATATACATATGTATATATCATTTATATTAACTTACTTTGCGGTAGAATTTAATTGAAGCATGAACGTCTATACTCTAAAAAGAAAAGTCAATTTTACCCGTTGTATGATTGTCGTCTATTAAGCTTTGGCAAAAAGATGTTTTTCAAAATCTATTGAATTTTTGTTACAGATTGTGTGAGAAAATTATAGAAAAAACTCAATAACAATAACAATGCAAATTACTAAAAATACTTATTTGTATTTCTGAAAAAGTTACTTAAAAAAAGTTTGATTTTTGAGAAAATTTTGTTTATTGAAATTAAAGTTCTACATTTTTTTAATGAGAACAAAGCTTTAAAATTTGCAAAATGTTGAAAATTTTTCTCAAAATTTTTTTGAATTATAGGTATATGGTGAATCATAATTTACTTAAAATCAAAATGTAATTACATACGAACGCCGCAGTATATGCAAATATAAGATTTTCGAAGCAAAATATAAAATTTTTTATAAGGTTTTATAAGCATGAGATATTCACCAAATTCTCGAACTCACTTAAATTAGCAAATTATTTAGGAATTTGTAATTATATATAAGTATTAATTGTTTTTCACGCAATGGCAGTATTTTATTGCATTGACAGTATTTTAAAGTAAACTGTCACAAAAAAATTCGTCATATTTTTGACAAATTCGGTAACTTGTCACATTATTTTTTTCATTCGACAGATTTTTTCATGATTCCGCCATGAACTATAAATTTATTGTCTTTTATTTATTTTTAAACCTATTCCAATAATATTTATTTAAATTTAAGTCAAATTTCGAAATTTATCAGAAGTGTGGAAATTAAAATTGAGAAAACGCATTGTTATATTTTAGAATTTGAAATATTCATACGTAAATTTTCTAATAAGTTAATCGAATTTTTAAGTATTGAAACAAAAAGCAGAATTATTTATTAATTATTATCTTCGAAAAAAAAAATTGTCAGCTAAATGTACATTCTGTGTCAATGTCAATTCTATAATATGTTTGTAGGTCAATTTCAAATTATCAAATGTAACATTATAATCAAAATTCCTTCATAATAACAGAGACAATTTTAAAAATATTGTGTACTTATCAATTAAGTGCTCAATTATATTATTAAAAAATTTAAATATATTCCAAATTTAGAAAATTTTTTTAATAAATTTTAATTAAGTATGTTAAAAATTTAAGAGCTTTTTTTATAATTATTAAAAATAAATATCATTAAAATTAAATAAATTGTTATTTAAAAATTAATTACCATATTTGTTACAAATTCTTTCACATACCTGAAAATATACAAAAAAAAAAAAATCAAAAATTAGACAAATATTTTTTTAAATAAATGCAAAGAAATAAAGGTTTATTAAAAAAATTATTTTGAGTAGGTGAAAAAAAAACTTAAAAATATGCTCTTACAACTTAAATGTACTCAACCCTGTATAGTTAATAATAACATTTTAATAATTTTTATAAGAAGTCAATTAAATAATAATTGACAAAAAAAAAAAAAAATTCTCGAAAATGACATTTTAGTTTTCAAAAATTCAATCAACCATAGAAAACAAAAATACAACAAAAAACCTCGAAAACCTTATAGCGCAAGAAAATATAAGAAAAATTTAAAACAAGAATAAGAAACAAAAAACTATTGCAATTTTTCTTCACAGTAAATTTAACTGACCATAAAATACACGAAAAAAAAACAACAAAAATAAAATCCAAGTAATTTTTATTGACCTTATTAAACACAACAAGAACGAAACAACCAATTTTTTTTTATACAATCCAATTTATCAAAAAAAAACAAAAATAAACAAACAATCAAAATAACTTAAGAAATAACTCACCTTCAATTACAACTCTTCAACACAAGAATACCTACCAAGTAGATAAAAAGAAAAAGAAAAACATAAAAAGTGGCTACAAAATCAAAATAATCAACTTTGAAATTTATAAAAACAAAAAAAAAATAATAATAATAATGAAACTATATTGTAGCCGCGAAAAACCAACAAAAATAACAATAACTACAACAAAAAATAATGTTCAAGTACTCTAAGTACATATTTACAAAATGTACAAAAGTAATCAGAAGAAGTAATCATAAAAAAAAATTAAGTAAAATGTCAACATTTTCATTTAATTTAGTCATTTATCTATCGACAAACACGCAAACATATGCACATTCATTTCCAAATATGTACATATACATACATCAAATATACAAACATACATAAAAATATCCACATTGATAATTAATAAAATGTACAAAAATAAACATAGTACCTATAATAAGGTAATTTTACAATATTAACAGTTTCTTTTTACAATAATGTCCAATATAAATACACACACAAGTATATGTATATGGATATATATGAGTGTGTATATTTAATAAATCACGAATCGCGACCGCCATAATACCGCTATCATCATCATTCATATTTACAATATTTTCAAGTAAAAAAAATTTTAAGTGTAATTTTTATTTTTAATTTTTCAATTATTTTTTTTTTTTTGTTCTATTTTCGGTTATTGCCGCTAATAATGACGGCGACGACAACGACGACGTCGACCTTTGTTAACAAAGCATGAAAATTTTCTTATACAAAAAAAAACAAAAATAGCAAGAAAAATAATATTTTTAATTTTTTTAATTTTTTTTTTCCATTTTTTTTTGAAGCGCATGAATGCAAAACTCGGTCAATATTCACACATACATACATACTACATGCATACTTGTATGTACAACAGAACAATATAAAAAACAAAATACATATATTTTGCTCAATTTTTATATTACTTAATTTTGTTAATAAGACCATAATAAAAATAAAATTATATATAAAAAAAATAATAGTATAACAATAACAATATTAGTACAAGAAGGTACAATGACTTTAATGTCTCTCTGGCTCTGAATGCCTTTTAATCAAACACAAATGTAAGTAAACAAGTAAAGTATGTATGTATGAATTTTAATGAAGAAAATATAAAAAAAAAATTTTAACAAAATATAATTATAAAAAAAAATTTACAATTTCTTTACTTCAAATAAGTATGAGTATATAAGAAAAAGCCCTTGAAAAGCAAAAGTTTTCGGAAAATATTTTTATTTTTATTAAATTTTGTTTTTTTTTTATTATAACGTACACACATACAATTTTTGTTGTTTTATACATTTTGCAATATTCAACACGTTCTTTATTTTATAAAAAATAATATAAAACTACTTGATATTTGTATATATGTATGTATGTACTTGCACATACAATAAATATTATGCCATTGAACACGATTTTATATTACAGTTTTACTATTAATACCGCTTTAAAATATTTTATTACAATAGATTAAACAGTACTGTAAATATAAATAATATTATTGTATAATTTATATAATGTTGAAATAATTTCAGAAATACAGTAGAAATTATTTTTTTAAAAACTTTATAATTTTATGACAATACTGAATTCAAATTTTACTCTCCATTAATTTTAATTCATTCAAACAAAATAAATGGATCGAACAAAAACAAACACAGATCAAACAAAATTATATTAAACGATATTCGAACGAACATGTTTGATTAAACAAAATAAATCGATTTCATTAACGAACTTTATCATTTGTAAAATATTGTGTATAAAACACAATTTTAATATTCTACAAATATTAGTTATCACACTGAAATCAAACATGTTCAAATGAAATCAAAATTTCAGTTCAAAAGGATTAGTCATACAAATTCACAAGGAATTTGATTCATAAGGAATTCCGATTTTGCGCTTGCTATTTAATAAACTATTACCAAATTTTATTTTTTAAGGAAAACTAATAATATTTTTAAATTAAGTATGAAATAATAAATGTATTGCAAATCATTATTAACATACAGAGCGCAATATACATAAATTTATGTTACTTAATAAATGAGCTTCTAAAAAATATGCATTAATTTCAGCATCGGAAAAAACGGATTAAACTAGTTAGTAATATTAAATGTTTTTCAGTAATTTGACTAATATTTCATTATTTTAAAAATTTCGAAACATTGCAGTTCTACTGTATATAGAAGAATAAAAATTACTTTTGTAATTAGACAAGACGGAGTTGTTTTGCTCAGTACACTTTTTGTGCTCTTTTAAATTAATGTGCATAAATATTTGTGTATAAATATCATGTAGTTAAATAAAGAAGTATATTTGTTTGTATGATTGTTCGTATACTAAATGAATTAAAACAGCAGCTTAACCATAGAATTGAGCAATTTTTTTTTCTGATCCATGTTTTTGTCTTTATATTGCGGGTTAAAAATTTTCTTGTTTCTTTTTCTTCGTTTTAATTTTTTCCTTTTTGTTATTTGTTAAGTTATCAGTTCATTACCGCAAAGCTCAGCTCATATTTTAATGCAATTTTTTACTTTTAATCTTTATATATCTTTTTTTTTTCTTCTTTTTTTAAGTAGTCTGCAAAAATATTAAAAATTTCGTAATTATCTTAATGAGTTGTTGAGTTTCCTAATTTGTTTTTTTTTTCTGCTATTTAGAAGTTTGTTTTTAAATTGTGTTTTAACATTGAATTTTCAATAGTTTGTTTAAGAGAGAATGTTTATGACAACTAGTTATAAATTAGGTAAAGAAGTTGTAGTTAGCCACCCAACATTATTTTTAATGAAAATATGCAGGGTCAATAACTGAAAATATTCATATTTAAGAGAATTAAGAAATAAATTTGATAACAATTAAGTCATTTTTTGAAATTCTTTGAATTTATAAGTATTTGATTTTCTTTTTCAAAATTGCATCTGCTTGTAATCGACAAAATAATTTACTTATTATTTACAAAATTGATTATACATATTTATGTAATTACTATTTTGATTTGTGTGTTTTAAAAGTAGCAAAAAATAAACCTTAATTTTAAAGTATTTACGATAATTTATAGATATTTGCATATTTCTAGGAGCATCTGACTGAACTTTAGTTTAGAAGGCAAGCAAACATGTACACGCATTATAAATATGGGTAACATGCAAATCTCTTCGATTTTTAAAATTAAATTTAAATTATTGCATATTTTTAGGGATTATTGATTTATTGCGAGACACTAATATTTTTAGGGATTGGTTAAGACTAAGCATTTACAAACCCCTTTATTCCTTAAATATTCAATGTTTGCATATTTTTTAAGATTATTTTGTTTTTAAATTAAAATGGTTCAATACATAAAATCATGATATTTTATGTTATAGACTAAAGCTGTTACAAAATAATCTTAATTGAAAATATAATACAAAAAACAGCAAAAATAATTATAAATTTTAGCTAGACCCATGGCCAACAATTATTATTAAAATCAATTTACACATTTTACATCTAATTTACATATATGTATGTATTCATCTATACGAGTTAACTAAATAAAATTACAAGTTATTAAGCTAGACAAAATATAAAGTTGCGGTTTTAAATATGAAATACTATTCCAATTTTCTATTTTGTAAAAGGGTATTACATTTCATCAACATATGTACAAACATCATAATGATCTGTATAATGTAAATTATATAGTTTGATTAGTGGTTTTTGTTAATTAAAAAACCAAAAAGAATAACATGCAATAAATAATTACAAAAGTAATACAATAACAATAATATTATCACTATTATTTGATATCTTAATTTAAGATCTTTAGAATTACGAATGAATTTAATTTAAATTAATTGTACCTGTAAGTATGTACATACATATATAGATGATATGAAATAAGTATATTTATTTCAGTAATGATGTATTTAGTACGATGATCTCACAATTAACACACATATATATATATATATATATATATACAAGAGTAATTCAATATATATGTATTTGTTGATGTTCAACAAAATGTTGTAAATATGATCTTTTCGCTTCATAATGATCACAGTAATTATTTTAGATCTTGAATTTCTGTGAAAAATATGGCTATGTACATACTTATATATCTATGTATTTATAAAAATTATTTTGCAAATTGATTGCAATTGATTATTAACTATAACGCTTCAGAACTTGCAATGAAATCGTTCTATATGTACACCTATAATTCCAATTTTTTCAATTAAAATTAAAATTAAAATATTTACGTATAATTATAGAATAAAATCTGAGTTCACATATAAGCTAATCTCCTTTTGAGTTAAAAATTTCAAAAGACCCTTTTTTAGTTAATTTCCAAAAGCATTACGCATTCATTATAAAATAGTTTTCCATTCGAAAAGTAAGGCTCGTAGTTTCTT